GAAAGACTGGATTAGGAAATCAGAGCACTGTTGCCAGACAGCATGAGAGCCAGCATGAAGATGCATCCATGGGATGTGAGACCAACGAGCATGATGACGTGCTTTTTTCAGCTGCATGGGTACAGACACGGAGAAGGTGGAGAACTGGAGTTAACGAAGGCTGTGATTTACCCGATCAGGTGCTGTGTGAGCCATGAAAAGGAGTTAGTAGAGTTGAGAGTATATGCAAAGCAGTGACTCTACTGAGGGACCATGGGGCTTAATCCTGCTGGGGAGAAAACACAGGACGTAAGTGTGGCAAGGAGAAACAGGGCAACGGTGATGGGACCAGTGGGTGGGGGATCCCGGCAGAGTCAAGAATAGTGAAGATGGAATAGAAGATGGCAGTCGGTGAGGAATCCAGAATTGAGCTATGACAGGGCTGAGGCTATTGGTAAGGACAAGATCAGTGCTATGGCCAACACGGCAGCAACTGGCTGTGGCAGAGTTCACATCGCTACACAAGCGCAATCAATGTGTATGACCTTGACCTTTCTTCAAGAGGAGGCCTCGTATGGCGTCTAGCAACTGAGCTATTGAGTTAGATGCTTTGAATGTATATCTGCCTTAGGTGTACTTTTGAAAAGAAGAAAAAAATGACTTTGAGTGGTTCATATATCCATATCACACACTAGCATAACAAATAGAGAACATGCCAGTATTTTTTACATGGAAGAGGTATTTCATTCTTCCCAAATGTGAGATCTTAAATACTTTTGGTTAGAGCCCTATTTATTTTGCAAGACAAATATATTTCTATTACTCCTTCCTGGCAGAGCAGCGTTAGTGTGAAGGTTGTGCTATACAATATTGCATTCACCTTCTTGTTTTTATGGTATACAAAATGAAATCACTTATTCACCAGGACTTTTCCCCTATAAATTATTCATAAAGCAACTAGCACAGGGAGTTGAATAGTAAATCAAACACTCTATGTGAAACCTAGGCATTCTCTACACCCCCAGATCACGGCACTGAGCTTTGTACGGGAGATAGGAAGTTTCTCAGACAAGAACTTCTACTGCAAATCAGCAGCCACGTGTGACACCGTCACAAGGGCAGACTAACGCTGACCGCTGTCAGCACCTTGTAGGTCATAAGAGGGAGACATCAGTACGTGCATCTTTATGAAAATTTTTGCCAGCATGTGCTTATCCATGGCCTACAATATCTTCTGGGACAACTAAACAAGGTTAATTTCCTGACACTTAACAAAGCATTTTTATCAGCAACAACCAAAGGGCGCTGGAGCTTTGCTGCTCTTACCAACCAGGTCAGATGGCCTTATCAGTACAGACACCAGGGATTTCCTGATGCCCTCTGTGGGGACAGGGCCAGCAGGACGTGTGTCTGAGGCCCTGCTGAGACCCCCAGGGACCTGCTCCCTCACACTGTTCTAAATGCCAGGCCCGGGGGCATGGAGGCCACTGTGAAAGGGAGGAAAGAGAAATCAAAGACCCTATGACTTCCATTACTCTTGAAGAGTCACAATAACATATTCAGTTTTATCTTTGAGGAGGGCTACCTGGGTTGATCTGTTGATGACTGACTGTGTTTCTTCAGTGAAGCAGGTGGAACAGAAATGTTCATTTATTCGAGCAAATAATGTCACTAACAACCAGTGATGGCCATATCTGTCACATCTATTACTTGGGCTTTCTGCCACCCTTGAAAAATGCCCCAAATAGATGTTTGTTTGTTTGTTTGTTTGTTTGTTTTTTCACAGTTTCCCACTATTAGTGGGTGGGAGGGGTGGGTAATTTCTTTCATGTAGATAATATTAATGCTTAATGTTTAATCAATTCAAACTCAGCCTTTGGTGAGCATTTCCAACTCCTCTTCTTTGCTCATTCTGCCGTTAAGGGCCTTCTGACGGAATTTAATTCTCTTCTCACTATAATTAACAACAAAAGGAGCAATAATGTAGCACAGAGGTTAAGAGAGAATTCAAGACCATGAATTCGAGATCTAGATTGCCGAGGGTTTCCTCTAAACTCTGCCTGTAGGACGACGAACATAATCTCTCTATGGCAAGTGCCTTATATGTATGGTGCCCATGAAAACAGTATCCAAGTGGGGACCAAATGAATTGCGAGTTGCAGTCTAAGTGGAACACCGCGTAGCACATCACAGGCACTCAGCATTAGCTCTCTTCATGCCAAAAAATACCAGGTGTCAAGTAGTTTCTCTCAGTACCTGTGTCTTGCCCATCTTTATTAGTTATCTACTGCTGGAAGGCAAATCACCCCAAGATTTAGAAACCCAGATGAATCAACATTTCTTTAAAAAAATTTTTTATTGTTGTTTAAGTACAGTTTTCTGCCTTTTCCCCTGGACCCCTGCCCACCATCCCAGCCCTCCTTGCCTCACTCCCCCATTTCCATTCCCCCTTGTTATTGTCCGTATGTCCTTTATCATTGTTCCTGCAAACCCTTCACCCTTTTCCCCCATTATCCCCTCCCCTCTCCCTTCTGATCACTGTCAGCCTGTTCTCAATTTCAACGTCTTTGGCTATACTTTGCTATCTTGTTTGTTTTGCATCCAACATTTCTGATTCAGAGTTTCTGTGGGTTAGGAATCTGGGACTGTTTTGCTGGCTGGTTCTGCTTCCAAGATCACTCACATGGTAACTGGTGGCCTGAGTCCCTCTCACCTGGGCCTCTCAGCAGGGCTGCTGCCCAGCTTGGCGCTGGCTTTCCTCTGGGAGAGCAGTCTGAGAGCGGGAAACGGGGGCAGGGGGAGAATCTCTCTCTCACACACATACACACAGTAGCAACAACCTTTTTAAACCTAATTCTGGAAGTGATATCCCATTACTTCTGCAATATTCTGTCCATTTTAGTCAAGTCACTCAATCTAGCCCATCTTTAGAGTAAGAGATTACACAAAAGCAGAGATAGGGGTCATGGGGGGCAGCCTAGCGTACCAACAACTGTGAACTGGCTCAGAGCGGCCCTAACTGGTTTTGCCTATGTATACATAACACATATATATGTGTGTATATATATAATGTGTGTATATATAGAGAGAGATGGAGAGAGAGAATATTATTTTCACCAGTGAGAACCAGTTTCTAACATCTACCCTTTTAATAAACACACAGACACTAGTTTTGCCAATAGAACCCATATTTAACATCCAATAGGCTCCCCCACAAGGCTTGATTGATGGAGGACGGTGGCTAGCAGGAAGCCTGGCCTTTTCCGTGCAGTGCTAGGCACCCTTTCTGTAACACGTGCCGGAGAGCAGGGCTGCTTAAATGAACTGCCATGGACATAGTATTACGCCAACTACATGGAAGATTTTTTAAATTATAGACTTTATTCCTTCCCCTAAGGTTTTCTTTAAGTTCTACCCAAGTCCTAGATCTATGAAATGCTCTTCTTTAATTTTTAAAAATGGCTATAAATAAAAGCATAGAGGATAGAACTTCTATATTTTCCTAACTTACATGAGTCTCGGAATGGAAAATCCAGAGAAGTGGAAAAGCTGTGTTGAATCCCACTGCACAGCAGCCCAGCACTCATGAAGAGCTCTGGTGACCGCACAACGTTCTGGCTGGCATTTCTGCTTCTCACTGTTTTGAGGACTTGATCCTCCACACACTCTCAAATACAACCGAATAAAAGTTGGGCATCCAAAATGGATAAAATAGGAATAGTACAGAAATAATCTTTAAATAAAGAAATGAAGGTTTTTAAGTGATACATGGAAATTTTATATATACTATATATGATCTCAAATGTAGAGAAAAGAAAAAACAGCCTGAAAAGTAATATCTAGATTATGAACAATGAAAGTTCTGAATAGTGAAATTTTACTTTTCTTGCACTTCCAACATGTTCAAAGTAAAGCCCTGTGTGTATGCACATGCCCACTTGAAATATAGGAGAGCTTACCATAGTAGACTTTGAATGTCAATGGTTAGTTAAAATCCATTTAGAAAACGTGGACATTGAAATTCAGCTCTCCTTGAATGATCTAAGAGATTAACATTCAAACCTAGAAACCCCCTTCACAGCATTGTAGATGCAGCCTGCTCTGCTCCGGAACAAACACAGCAGCAATCTAAGAATCCACAGTCCAAGACCCCCAAGAATCTGTCTTTTCCATCTTTGGGACTGGTTTCTTACTCTTCTGGGGATCCATAATGCCTGAAATGTGGACTATTTTAAAAAAATGTTCCTCAAGTGGTAACACTGTAATTAAATATGAATTTAAATATGAACACAAGTATATCATTCCACCTTTCTGTTTCCCAAAAGTGAGGAGATTGTTATAGCGAGCAATCTGGACGGAGGTCCTGCCTACTGGACAGTTCACCCACAAAGCTGGGCCATGGAGACCTCCGCTGACCAGTCTACACATCACCCATTTTCTGGAGCCACACCGGCGTTCTTGTGAGAGTTAGAACTCATATAATTATCTATGCTACCCACCCGTGGCTGCTTAAACTTAAATTTAAGTAAAATAAAATAAAATACCATACAGCTCCTCATTTCCACTGGCCACGTTTCAAGTGCTGAAAGAACTCCATGTTTCAACTTCCAATTTGAAAAGCACTGAGCTCCTGGGGCAGAAGAGAAAACAAGAATCCCGAACATCGTTGCTAATGATGCAACTAGAGCAAAGCCGAAAGGATGCCTAGTGGCTGAGGTACCCAAAGGTAAAAGGAAGGTAAGGATGCTGCACAACACTTGGAACGTAAGTAGTTCGAACGAAGGTGACCTGGAAGTTGTAAAGCAAGAGGCGGGACGTTTAAACATGGTAGTGCCTGGTGTTAGAGAAGCAACCGCGAAGTGTTCCACCCTGGAAATGCAAAGTCCCGGAAGTGGGCGGTGGGCAGGGGGTGAAGTTCAGGGCTGGGCCGGGGTTTTCTTGCTGGGAGAGACTCTACCCTCCTGTGGCTGGGGTGGGGAGGGGAGGACCAGCAGCCTGGGGGAAACACAGCCTCACTGCTCTTCCTGCTGATGCAATCTGCCCGACAGCCAGCATCTCCCTGCGCGAGGGCCGGTCTACAGTCCCGCTGCCACGTGGAGCAGCCGGTTCCCGACCTTGGCGCAGCGGACAGCGCAGGAGGCGCAGAGGGCCCGAGACACATCGGGTTGGTCCTCCGCTCAGCGCCAGCCATCCTCACCACCGCGGGAACAATGAAGGTAACTGCTTACGATCTTGACTGTATTTTACACAAAGCGTGTGTACGGATTGCGCCTGCGAATCCTCAGAGATGCAGTTGGCAGAAAGGGGCCGGACGAAGGGCCACCAGGGTTCGTGTCCAAGCAAAGGTTTGCTAATATTTTCTTTGTCCGTTGCCTCTGGACGGGACCTTCCCTTCTTTTCAGACCGTTGAGTCTTCGCTCACGGGATGTGCCTCCGCAGGCTTTTCCACGGCTGCACTTGTGAATGGAGATAAAAGGCTGCCGGCAGCTCTTCCCTCCCTCGCGGGTTAGGAAGCTTGAAAAGGAAGAGGAAGCTTTTCTCAATTTTTAAGATGCACAGGAGGTGGGGGACTTTGGAGAAGAGGTTTGGGGGGTATCGCTCCCTGTAAATAGGGGTTTTCTGCTTGGTGTGCCTAATGAAAGAGGGTCAACTAGGTGATGCCGGTGGCAAGGGGACATAAAGCTGCTGTGAAAAGCAGAAATCTCCTCGTCTTTTGTACCCTGCGGAAAATTAAAGCTTCTAGGAATTGCAAATCGTGTAAGCCTGAGGTCGTCCTTTTATTAAACTGGGTGAGCCCCCCAATGGCCTCTATTCTTATGCTAATCAAGTTAATTGGTTTAGCTCCCTATTACTTCGGAAGGTTTAGGTGTAGGAGTGAACACTAAGCCTTCCGTTTTCCTGATCTCACGCGTTGGAAAACTGCAAAGACATTGGAAACTGAGGAGCAGCTCTTTGAAAGGAAAGTGAGGGGTGGGCAACTTCCTCTGCTGGCTAACACTGAGGAAATAAGAGGCTCCTCTGAGCAATCTGGATTTTTAGGGGAAATAAAGCCATGCTTCAGAATTTTGAAAGAGGGAGTTGGAGTAGGGTTCTCAGCTGCAGTACCCACAATCTCACAAGAACTAATAAGTAAACGGTGCTTTTTTCATCAAACAAAAATACCCACTAAGACTATGCAGGAACTGAACGGAAACACTGTCTCGTAGTGAAAAGAGGTCATGCAAACGTGCCACGGTAAAAAATTTAGCAGCCTTTTTTCTTCCATAGTTAGATATTCTATTTCTGGATTGCTGGTGCCTGTTTAATTGCACCTGAAAAATACACTCTGACTGAGTATAGCATTATTGAGTAAGCAGAAAATTATGAAAATAAACAGGCTTGCTGTTCCAGCATTTCTCTCTTACATAGAGTTATAGTAGATTATGCAGTTTTTGAAAGTTCATGGCCTCCTTCACATGAGTTCAAAAACCCCTGTTTCTCTTACAAGGTACTTTTTTTTTTTTTATACACAGGACACTAGAGGATACTTTTAGGTAGCCTCATCTCTGTTTTCTGAAATTTTACTAAGATCTGGAAAAAAAGGATTTTATTCTAGGCATGATCAAAGGAGTATGTGAGGTTTCTCTAATTTTGATTTTATTCTTTTAAAAAGTTTTCTACTTGCCTTTCACCCAAGTATTGCTATTATATTTATTAGGTTTTTTTTTTTAATGTTATTTACACCTGGCACCATGATAAACTGTCCTCAGCAAATTCTCAACACACGGTCTTGCCTGGGAGCTTGTGTTTTAAGATGGACACATACAGAAAGGGCAACTGAGTAAGAAAAATAGTACATATATTGAATAGCATGTATATAAAAATGTATAAAAAGGTTCTGTACATATTATGTTTTACTAGGTTAATTTAAGGTGGAGATTTTAAAGAGACACATACCCTAAAGGGACAGTGATATGAGAAGTCATTGTCAAGGATAAGTGAAGGAAGGATAGAGAGCTGTTTGTTTGTTGGTAGGAGGCTGGGTCACTTGAGACCTAGCAGTGAGGTGGGGTTTCCATTCCAGCCACAGGAGGTGGCACCTCATGCAAGGCTCACAGAGACAGTGGTAGTTCAGCTGGTCTAATGAAGTGCATTGGTGGACATGTGGTGGTGAGAAAAAAGAAAAAGGGGACAAAAAAAAGACAAGAATTTAATTTTGGCCAATATTTCATTTAGTGAGTTTACATAACAAACAACTTCATTTGACTATAAAACTACACAGAGAAAGAAAGAAGAGTTAAGAAAGTTTTTTTACCTTGGCTGGTGTGGCTCAGTGGATTGAGTGCTGGCCTGTGAACCAAAGGATCACCAGTTCGATTCCCAGTCAGGGCACATGCCTGGGTTGCAGGCCAGGTTCCCAGTAGGGGGCATGCAAAGGGTGACCACACACTGATGTTTCTCTCCTTCTTTTTCTCCCTCCCCTTCCCTCGCTCTATAAATAAATAAATAAATAAATAAATAAATAAATGAGTTTTTTAAAGAAAATTTTCCATTTTTATGCCAGAATTTTTCTTGCCTGTCAGCTCATTGAAACTGAGGTCTAGTTATTTGAAATGGGTATAAAACGTTTTGAAAGAAAGTTGAAAATAGTCATTTGATTATTGCAGAGGTGTGCGCTAAGAATTAAAACCAAGTTATGATTTCCTTCAGTAGCTGTGTTTTTCATGATTTTAGATTTTCTTTTCATGATTTTAGATTTTGTCCCTTAGTTCAGGTCAGGATTTTTAGTTTTATAGGGGAAGAAAAAGAATTGCCCTTCTGCCCCTCTAGATTCTTCGCTGAGATTCCCCTGTTATAAAACACAGGTTAACAAGAGACAAACAGAAGTTTAATAACGTGTATACCTCCAGAATACATGGGAGAGACCCAGGAAAACCCAGAAACTCCTTGAAATGTCCCAAGCTACCACCTTACATACCATCTTCAGCTAAAAACAAACAACAAACAGGGAACACTGTTGGAGGAACAATTAGGGGAGGTTATCAGGGAAAGCCGAGTAAACAAAGGTAAAGTTTCATTCAGATTTAAGTAGGAGCCTTCTAAAGATTTAGCTATCTTTCTCTTCCAGGCACAGAGAGGGAGACACCTTTACAAAGAGGATTTCTCTTATAAATGTAAATTCCTCTTAGAGGAAGGCAACTTCTTTGTTTTCAGAGATTCTCCAATGCCTGCGACCACTCAGAGACATTTTTTGGGTGGCATATGCTGCTTCCCTTCCGTTCTTTGTTATTAATATCAAGATGTAGACCAGGGAGGTCTGGGCTTATTAGTGAACCAGTTCTGTGCATAAATGAAGCTTGTTTCTAAACTGTGGGTGTCTTGAGTGTTCAGATTGGTTATGTATTTGGGGATTTTACCTTGTGCTTCTTTCAATAGCCTCTTTTCAATGGGCATAGGAAGTTGGAAAAGGGAAGTGCTTTCTCTATTTCCATTTAGGGTTGGCAACCACAGTTCCTCTAGTAACCAATGCTTCCCTGCAAAAACCCACTGCCTTGTTCAGCCTAAAGACCAAGGGACTCCGTTACCATTTAAGAGTGAGAATCTGGGACTTTCCATGAGAGGCATTTTTTTCTCCCAGGCATCCTCTGCTTTCGATGTGATACTATCATTTCTTTCTGAGCATGATGTGGGAAGCTTTGGAAAACCTTTGTTCACCCAAAACCCTAGGCGCCCTGGGAGAACAATAAGGCCCCTGGGAAGCAAACAACAAGATAGTCACAAGGACTGGGACTAGCACCCCACTGATAGAACTAATTTTCACATTTAGCCTTTGTACTCTGCTTCTGCCCTGTAGATAGAACTAATTACCGCATTCCGCTTCTGTATCTCGCTTTGCTACGTGGACAGGAAGACCCCGTAGACTATATAAACCCCCAAAATCCTTTGTTCGGGGCTCAGAATTTGGAGACTGACTCCTCTGGGCCTATGCCCATTAATAAACCTCATACTCCAGAATCTCTTGGTGTCTGGTTGCGTCATTTTCCTATAACAAGCACAGTAGGCAAGTGCGACTGGTCTGCTCACTTTATAGCAGTAAATGTGAGCAGCCTTTGTGTTGTAACTTTACTCCTTAACAGCTGTCCAAATGTGCTAAATATATAATGTGACTTATGCTAAACATTTCTCCTGATGGGCTTTCCTGAGCCCTTGTAGCTCATTTGGTAATAAGCCTCTGAAGTTGGATTCTACATAAGTTACCTGAGATACAAATGTGAGGTGCAACTCAAATTTCTGAAATGTTTCAAAATTAAGGATGTGGGATGCTCTGGTCCATAAAATAACTTTGCAAATATGTGCATACATTTTTTATCATAACATGTAGACTTTGATCCATAAAGTCAATGGTGGATGCAAAGTGAATGCAAAGCCAAAGCAAAATTGGTCGTTTCTGTAACAAGAGTTCAAATGCCAGTTGCACCTGTGCCTCTAATTAGTCCGCTCAAATTCACAAGCTGATAATATTGCCTTTAAACATTGAGTATTTATATCCTTAAAATAACTTAGAAATTATATGACCTTATCAATACAGCTTAGCATATCACATAAACATTTTTCTATTGTCATGTAGGCCATGGCCTTTTGTGGGAAAAGCTATTTTGTCAAAATTTTTTTTTTGTATTCAGTGGTTAATGAGAGCAAGAAAATTTTAAGGAAGTAATCATGCTCCAAAAATATAGAAAAAGTCAAGGAGGAAGGAATAAAGGAAGAGAAGTTTAAAAAATTTTTTTTATTTATTCATTTTTAGCGAGAGGGGAAGAGAAGGAGAGAGAGGGAGAGAAATATCAATGTGTGGTTGCCTCTCATGCATCCCCTGCTGGGAACTGGTCTGCAACCCAGGCATGTGCCCTGACTGGGAATCGAACTGTGGTTGTTTGGTTTGCAGGCCCACGTTCAATCCACTGAGCCACACCAGCCAGGGCGGAAGAGAAGTTTTTTAAAAAATAGAGAAAATAACATTATAGCAAGCAATGATCCAGCAGTCATACTGAAATACACATGCTTCTTTGTATATGAAAAATTGTGAAATACTTGTTAAATCAGTTAGTTCCATTAATAACAGTCCTATTTTTCATGTAAAAATAAACCAATTTATTAGTTCTGTATTTTGATATGTAGATATGAATATTTGATCAGTTGTGTTCACAGTCTATCCCTTAGTTTGAGAAATGTTTTTTAC